TTATATATCCTAAGAGTAAAGCAAATAAAGTTCTATGGCAATCTCCATTCTTCTAATGACACCATTAATTTACCACATTTCCTTCATCCTAAAACAGTATTGATTTTCGAGGCATATTGTCAAATTAAGAATAGCATTTTGAGGAAAGACATTAAAATGCACATATTTAAAAACTACTTATCCGTAATGTTCATTTATCTATAAAATTGTATGTCACTTTCTTCACCAATATCAGCATCTAAGCCATGACACAGTCAAGTCTAAAAATTCTTCTGACAAATTTGACCATCAGTGGGTATCATCACAGTGATCAACAGTCCTCATGATACTGATTTCTCCAGCAATTTTAGGAGCAACAGTATCATTTAGAAACAAATCAGGAAATACCAGATTTTTTTTCTCCATTTACTGTTTGGCTAAATTCTAGTTAAGTTGGTTTTGTTTATGGCTGTTAATTAAATTAGTAGTCCCCCAAGAATCAAAAGTTGGTCACAGTATCTAGTTTTGAAAAATCTACAGTAAATTCCAAAAAATTTGGCAATACTACAACCTTCATTATGCTAGAGGGCAAAAAGTAGACGATCGCCTAGCTTCACAGTAACTTTTAGTTCTAATGCTCCCTAAGGGTGCTTTTGTGGACATTTTAAATGACAAATGCAGATCCAAATATAAAATTCAATCACTGCTGATTGTATTAAGGCAAATAACCCTTCTCAAGTAGTAGCCCAATGGTTTCAGATGAAGATACCTTTAATTCTTGACCATGTTACCATAAACTCAGAAATTACAAAGACTTTATAATTTACTTCACTGCATACAAGATTTTTTTACATCAATTATGTTTACAAATTTTAGAAACATTAACATTAAAAGTATATTGAATTTCTTAGAATTGAATTTATTAGAATATTTCTGTTTGAATGTGATCCATAACTTCTGATAATTTAGTAAAACCACATTCCCTATTTTTATGTTTGCTTAACATGCTGGACACTTTACACTTTTGTAATGCACTCAGGATGTTGCTATATTCTGACCAGTAGTGTTGCACCTCTAATTTCTATTGTTACTACATGGAGATAAATCCCCTCACTAAAATCACAGAAAATCAACATAAAAGAGCTCTTAGGGCAATGAGGGAGGCTTAGTCTGAGTTGCTTGTTCATATAAATCAGAAGTGTACAAAAACAAGTAGAAATGTAAAGCACCCAATGAACTAAACTTGTCACTGATAGCAACTTTCCAATCTACCTCAAGGTCTAAGTATAAAAGAAGGAAATAAATAAAAGATGAATCAAACATAGGTACATAAAGTGTGGGGATGTCACTGAAAAACAAACAGATCAACAACAACAACAACAAAAATTACAAGAGAAATTCAGTCCCAGAGGAAGACAATAAATCTAAATTCAAATTTGTTGTTTTCAGGTAATAAAATAATATCAAAGGAAAAAAAATTACATTGGTTATTTGGAAATGGTAAAAGTTCTGCAATTAAAGAAGTAAACTGTTGGTAACTGTTTGGAATAGACTCTGTAACTGAAGCCACAAATAACTAATTGCTATCAAGAAATAATGATAAAACATAAATTAGTACTTCTGTTCAAACTTAATGAATATTTTAATGTAACCATCAACTTCTATAACATACATAAGTTCCTTGAATGTAGCTTATATGATGAGGTCCACTGAATCCTATATTGGGAAACTTAGACCACACTAGAGTGAGTTTCTAATACCCTGGCATTGCTCTGAACTGCCAGATCCTAACCTACCTTAAATCCCACAGTGTTTTTTTCTCACCTCTACAGATTCTTACCACAGGGTTTCTCTCCAAACCTCATTTATGACCCTACTTTTGCCTTCAGACTGTAATATAAATACACTCCTATGTTCTTGCTTTCCATGATAGGTACACCTTATCATTATTTTGTCTGTAGCTGTACAGTCTTCTGTAGCCCTAGGTGAAGACCTGCACAACAGGACCAACACTCAGGATTTTCTGTCTCATTGCAGCCTCCCCGAGTGTTGTCCTCTTCTGTTTTAGAATGGATCCCTCTAATGAGACCCACAGCTATTTACTTAATTGTAGACCACTAGTTTCTACAAAGACTACAAAGAGCATTAAAAACAAAGAGTATGTTTCTTGAGGGGAGCTCTAAAAACAAACTGAAAGAACAAATTTAACATAATAGGAAAATCCTTAGGATAAAAATAAGTTGGTCTTAAAATTTTATGTTTGCTCAATAGTTTCTAAAGTACCATTTCATCATTAAAGATTAACTTCTGCAAATTCTAAAAGCATAAAAATTGCCAGGTTATGAAAGATCTATTCAATTAACTCACATGTACATAATCTGCCACCATCAAATTTACAAAATCCATGAACTCCACAAAGCAATTTATAACAAAATATTAAATCATACATTAAAAAAACAAAATTAATGTTTAGCTACTTATGTATACACACACATATATATTAATATGACTATGTATATTAGATAGATTAACCTAGTATGCACAAACAAGTAAAATAAATATGTGTCAACAATTAGAAAAAGTATATTCTTACAGAGCAAATCCTACGTAAATTTGGTAAAAATTTAACTGTTAAAGTTTTAAATTATTAGAATAAAACAGGTTTCTTTTTCCTAAAAACATTTTTTTTGAACTTCCAGTATAAGTAATAATCAACCCCAACAGTTTTCAAACACTACTTTTGTTTGAGTCCTGGACTTCCAAGTTAAAAAATGGCAAAATAAATCTCCAGTAGAGAAAATTATCTTCATTTTTGAAACTTTTATATTACAAATGCTACTTGAACAATATTAATGTTAATCATAGATTTTAATTTCATTAAAAATGTTAAAAGCGATATTTGTGAAAAATGCAAATGTGTGTTAAGAAACAACTGTGGGGGTCGCCCCTGCGAGAGGCTAACAACTTGGCCTCCGCCATTAGGTGAGCTTGACTCCTTACACATTTTCCCTGGCTGGAGGCTGTTGAGCTATGAGTGAGAGGAAATTAAGAAGAGAATGAAAGAGGAAATTGAGAATGATCAAGCAGGACACTATCCTCAGCCTTCTTGGCCGAGGAGATAATGGCCAGGTGAACACTGAAGTGAGTTAATTGGGTATTGTGTTCCCCTTTCTGGCTCCTGATCTAATACTTTGTTTACTAGGCATTGTTTCAGCCTAGCGACCTCCTTGTCTCTCGCAGATGCACGGTTTACTGCTGAGCTTGTGACTTCTAGTTAATTAAAGATTGTTATCCAAGTTACTGATTGTTCTGACAATATCGATAATCAGCATCACCTATTTCCCATTGATCTTTTACATTAGTATTTGTTCCCTTTGACAGTTCCTCAGAATCATCCCCCAAGGAATTTTCTGTTCCTTTTATGTTTGAGTAATGATCTGCATTGAGGTAATGACGTTAAAGAAAAAAGTATATAAGGAAACCTACTGCACAATAAAATCGTTGTATGGGCATAGCCCATCCAGTCCTCCAGACCCCTCCTCTCTCTGTCTCTTTCCGCACACGCGGAAAGGTTTGAGACCCTCTCGCTGGACGAGATTCCTGGGCTCGCGTTCAGTTCACAACAAACAACCTGGATTATAGTTTGGGCAAGATTAACAGAAATAGAGTTGAATATTTTGCTCTGATCTCAAATTCATCTCACAGAAAGTAAAATGAACTTCAAATAAAATCAGGACGTTTTCACAGGTTCAGAGAAACTGAATTCTGCCACTAGTATTACCTATCACTAGTGACCAAGCATCCAGATGGATCCTCTGTTAAACATGGCTTATTCTGAGCTATTAGTGCCAGCCACCAGATCACTGAATATTCTGACAGATAATCAGCCATTTATTGAGAACCTTGGGCACATACTGTGGCTTAATGACGCAAAGAAGAAATACATATTTCCAAATATCATCTCATAAGTATTTAGTAGCAGGCCTGGAACCACTTGATTACCTTTTAATTGAGTAAAGTGTTCTTACCAAAATGACCACAGTTCAAAAGAGGGAAGCACCTACCATCCTTCTTTTTCTCAGATTTGTTTCCCATCATATGCTTGGCAAATCCAAAAATAGAACCTGGAATTTTGCTGTATTTTAAACCAATAGATTCATAACTTGTTACTGTAGGTTGAAAGGTTGGCAAAGGGGAAAAACATATATACATATAAAATTACTTTAATGGTCTTAAATCTCAGAGGAAAGGAAGTAGAAAGGGAAGTGAAATTTTATTCATTTGAACAGATCAAAAGGATTATAAAGATATGTATTATAAATAGATCTACAGGGGTAATTGAGATTTTAGCAGGCTAAGAAGAATGAAATGGCATGTTTATCAAGGGAGCAACGAGCTAAAGAGGCTTATGTTTAGGAAATAGCCATCCAGATGCAGGAGGGAAACAATAGCTCTCTTTGATGTTTGAGGATTGAGTGCCAGGCATAGCCAATAGTATATACAGGTAGAACTAATGACTGTGATCTAATTCTCCAATAAGGTTATGAGAGTAGTAGTATCAAATTATCACCATTGTACAGAGGAAGACATTAAGGTACAAAGTGTTCATATAACTACTTCCAAGAGCACAATTGACAAGTATGGGAGTTATGATTGTAAACCGAGGTGAAGTGACTGTCAAGCCAGTATTCCTAATCACTAGGCTATACTATATTTTGAGGACACAGGAGAAAGTGAACTGGTTAAGTAAAATAAGACTATGTTGTGGGGGCCTTGCCTGACTCCTAGACTAAAGAATTTGTTTAGGCATGTCTCCTACTGTGTGAGTTTTTGAGATATGAATTAGAGAGAACACAATTGAATAATTAAAGGGAAAGATTGCCACTACTCCAGCAGCTGTTGGATATAATATAATGTTATTGTGACTGGGAAGAAGCACCTTGTTCAGTGGAAAAATGCTATTGAGTAAACAGAGTAGGAACTCGCACCTGCTTGTTGTGCAATAAATGGATGCTCAGCTGGTGTTCTTTCTTCTGTTTCCTGCTGGAAGTTGTAAACAACACTAGAATTCATATTGACTGTACAAAGTTTATTGATTCTTGTCTGATCTTACATGCTCTTCAGTAACTTCCTGGGAACGTTTTGGTTTATTTTTGTTGGTTTTGTTTATTGTTTGTAGCTCTCACAAAATACTACCATACCCAGTTTGAATAATAATTTCATCAAAGAAATTTTTTAATAGAATATAACTTGGTTATTGTTGTCTGGTATTATTTTAGTCCCTTCCTTACTTTCTCTTAACACATACACATTGAAAGAATTGAGTTTATAATACAATTGTTGAAAATGTGAATTTTCTTAGTAATATTGGTATCATTAATAGCAAAAAAAGGGTTTAACTTAAAACACAGTATGCAATGGTGAATCATTGGTGGTTTCTGAGAAGGTAAACGTTATACAAAGAACCATGAATTAGATAGATAGATACTGGATACATGGTTTGAAATAAGGGAGAGAGAAAATAACAGGAGAAAATAAAGATGAGTCAAAGATGACTGCATTTTAAACCACGTGTCTGAGAGAAGAGTAGTAATATTAATAACCTCAGCCATAAAGACATAAGGACAAAACTAATAAAACAAATCTCAACTGACATGTTTTGGAAATACACATTTTATAGGCATAATTCTCCTGTTATGCAATTTAGTTATCTGTAACAAATACAAATGTCATATTAAAACCATTTGTTTCCCTAAAGGCACACACCCCTGCCTAAGATGTTACTTACAAGAAACAATTAAAATCAACCCCTTAATATTTTACATTTTCCTATATATGCCTCAATTTCTCTGTGTTTTTGAAAAGGCTGCACCTAATATATGAGTAGACAATTATGTGCAATGCCTATTATAAAGTGTTTCATGGTTAAACTAACATACTGCTTGCTGAGTTACCATGGAATTTAACTCTTAGTAACAAAGCATAAATGCACTCCCCAAACTGAACTTAAAACCCATCTACTTATTAGGAGTCTCTTTATTTCTTCTACTGATATTAGTCTCCACACATATATTTTCAGTAATCAAAATAATAATTTATTCAACAGCTGGAGGTCAGTTATTAATTCTAAATCATTTTCTCACAGACTCAGGCTTTGAAAATTAAAATTAATTATCCAGTTACAGTAGGAACAAATCAAAGTTAAATTCTTACATTATCACAAGGGGACCTTCCTCATAAGATCTAATTATTGATCTATTTTCTGGAGCAAAGAAGCATACCTACGTATGCATAAATGTGCTTTTATAGTTTTTCAGTGGGATTGACAAATCATGGATTAGCCTCACCTCACCTTCCTTAGATCAAGAAATATTTGGAAATCCTCCAAATGCAATAATCAGTTGAAACATGTCTGATTAGTCTGACATTATCTCTTGACAAATGCCTTCATTCTCTTCTGAATCAGCACGATATACGCCACTTCAGTCTGTGTCTGTAGCAGACATTTCCTGTGAGGTGAAAACAGATTGCAGCATGAATACATTGTCTCAATTTATTTTGAATTCTTCACCTAAATTCTTAAATCTTAAAAAAATATTATGTTTGGTAAGGTTTATTTTATCATTTTCCAAGGCAGGAGTAAATTGGGTTCTTCTTAAATACCTCAATGAAAGGTTAAAAACTGAAAGTATTTAATAACATTTTAACAAGTAATCTGAATAAATGTGTGGGTAGTATTTTAACATGAGCACAAGCATTTCATTGAACAACTGAAAAATCAATAACCATGTTCACGTTTATTAATTTTTTTTTACGGTTCTTTCTGTTGTATCCAAATTGTTATTTGTGTTGGGAAAGTAGATGTAAATGCTTAAACACATTCCTTCCCTCTTTTCTGTGAATAGACCTGCCATAAAACTGACATTTTCTTCTGTGGTTTCATATGTTTCTATAAGAGATCTATAGGAATATAGCAATACCACATACATCACAATGAAGGTGGCTCTGTTTCCTGAAGATGAAAAAGCTGGTGGGAGGGATGGGGAAAGGAGCAATGCATTTGAAAATACCATACCAAAAGATAGCTTACAAATGGCCTTTACTAGAAAATATGACTCTGCCATGGTAAGAAGTCGGTGTGGCCCTGGGGAATTACCTATCAATTGTAGAGAAACAGAGTTAATCTGATAAAGGGTTATTCAAAGCAAATTGACCCTGGAGCACTTGTAGCCTGTGTGACAAAGCTGACTAGTCTGGTCCTCTGGGCCACCACTAAGCCTCCGCTTTCAAACAACACCTGATAAACACACTCACCTACCTATTATGCCCCTTTCCCTTAAACAAAACTTTACCCTATAATACAATGACTTTTTTTCCTACCTCAGATGCATATTAAATGCCTAGGAAGCTTTGAATACAGGCCTTGGTCTGTGACTTATCCAAGACCTATAAAATCAAGATGCAGTTTGGAGCAGAATTTGTTTAGTAAGAGATCTTCATGGTTGAGAATCAATGCCTTAAGCGATCAGCCTATGTGAATCTTCTTCCGCTGGTCACAATCACTTTTCCAAGAGCTCAATTCTGCTCTAGGTGAATGCCCACGATCAACTCAAATCACATGCTGCTTGAGGCCCACATATTAAGCTCCCCATACCTATCATGGAGTAATGTTCCTGAGATACTGGGGCTGAGTCTTGTGTGTTAGATATATGCATGCTAAAATCAACCCAGAAAGGAAAATTTTGTAGAAGAATTAAAACATAGTCACAGCATAGGACTGGAAACAAATCAGTCTGAAACAAAGAAAGCAAATAAATGCTAGAGACTTCATGTATAATGTCATACAACAGAAATAAGCCTTAAGGCAGCATACTGTACAGAATTTAGAAACCAAAATCTTTCCCAGTCATGGGTAGGGCTCCCTCCATCTATAACAATCCTTGAAAAGGCTATATAATGCAAGATCTAAAAAAAGACAGAGATTAATTGACAGTGATTGAGTGTGTTCAATGGGATAAGCATAATAGAGTTTGCTTCAGAGAGGCACACAAACTATACACGCAATATAAATTTGCTATTAACTGTCATTTTTACTTCTCCAACTAATACTCTCACAAAAGACTTTAACCCCATGAAAGCAAAGTAGTTGCTTCTCATGGGCCAAAACTTATAGGTAGATTAAAAATGGCAGTCTCAAGTATATAGCCAAGGAGGATTGTTGAGGCTTGAGATTAGCAGGAAAAAAAAAAGGCCTATTGAAATAGCAATGCCTGCTGTGGATGCAAGGTTGTGTAGGCTGGCACACTTGAAATATGCAAACTCACCTGCCCTAGTCATGCTCCTCATCTGCTCCTTCTGTATTTTCTTCCCTTCACCCTCTTAACTGGTTCTACTTAAATTTCTGGTCTTTTTCTATATTCAAGAGTTTGAACACTTCAACATTCTCTGACAAGGAGCAGGTATTTACTCACAGCTGATATTTTATAATAATTACAAAAATTAGTTTTATATTAATTACAAAAAAAATCGTTTCATCTTCTTATTGCTAAGAGTTTGCATGTGTGTCCTTAATGACTGATTTTTTGCAGGGAAGGGTGGAGAAAGAAGGGGTTGTCTTCCAAGGATCTCTGCTCTTAAAACACCTAAAGAGTTTCTCTCTCTCTCTTTTAAAAAATATGTTCTGGAAAATGACTGTCACCAATAACATATTTTCCAGAAATAGCCTTGTTTTATTTCTGTATAATGCTGTCTTTCTCTCTTTCTCAATCTCTACTTGGAGCTGACCTGCTGTGGTGGGAAGGGATTTCTATTCTGCTCTGGGTCTGAGTGGGAAAAAGCAACCTCCATTTCACGTTTAAGTGAAAAACACGCCTCCACTAGAAGCCAGGGACCCTGTGTGGCTTTATGTCTGAAGCAAAAAAGAACTTCCCTTTTGATGCTTTCATAACCACTTTTACTTAGACTAAAGTAAAATTATTGTAGGAATCATGACCTAGATTCCTCCAACATGTTTATTCAGCTATTTCATAAGTAATAGTTTCATATAACATAATTTCTTGTCTGCATTAGCATATTTCTCAGCCCCACACATAAAATGAGATGGAAAGCTTGATTAAAAATATAATAGAATGGATGAATTTCAGAAAATGTCTGTAAATTCAGCGTATAACCGAAAATGAAAGCCAGGCCATAATAGTTGGTATTTAAATATTCTATATCCTGTTTCCTATAGGATTTTTTGACTAATGTTTTTAAACTAACACTGTCCAAGTAAAGAATTCCAAGTCTTCCATATTCTGGATAAAATTTAGAAGAGTTTTGAATAAATTAGTGATGTAGGATAAAGTCTCTCTTGATTAACCAAGATGCTACAATGATGGAAATATATTAAAGATCTGAACCTGTTAAGAAAATAGACAAAATTGTGACAATATTTGGCAAGTGAAAAAGATACAATGGGCAAAATGAAACACAGGAAGAAAAAAGAGTTCATGACTATAAATTGAGTAAAGTTTTTTTTTAATTATAATATAGTAGAAAGAGCAACTTTATGCCAAAAAGTTTTAATTAGATTAAAGAGATGATATCCTGGTAAATTACAACTCTGAACATAGACACAAGAAGAAAGAGAAAAATCTGAATTAACCCAGATCCTTTCAAATTTCCTAAACATTTATTTATCATGAATTTCTGTTTAATAGAAGGCACCATTAAAAGCATACAAATACAAGCCATAGAAAACAAAAGTGAAAATGCAAGCCACACACTAGAAGATATTTGTATTAATATATCCATAAAGACCTCAAACTGAACTGCATATGTATGTATGTGTGTGTGCATCTGTAGATGATAGATATTCTTACAATTCTTTGACAGAGAAAAAATAATGGAAAATACTTGAACAAGAAATTCACAAGATATCTACACAGTCAATAAACATATAAAAATATTTTTTATTTCACTAGTGATGAGGAAAATGCAAATTAAAACCTCAATGAGATACCACTATGCATTCACTGAGATGGCTAAGATTAAATGACTGACAACAATAAATATTGACAAGAATGTGAAGCAACTGGAGCTAATTTCCTGCTGGTAGGATTGTAAATTTGTTTGACTCCTAGGGAAAACTGGCAGTGTGCACTAAAGCTCTCATATGCCCTCCCTATGACTCAACAATTCTATTCCCAGACATATTCCCAAGTGTTTGTGTGTGTGTGTTTTTATGTATGATACAAAAATATTAGAAGGAAGTTCATAGTAGATTAGGTGTAAGAAAAAAATATTGAAACAATCCAAGTATTTATTAACAATAACATAAATGAATAAATTATATTCGCATGAGAGAACACTATAATTAGAATGAATGTATGCTCATTTATGCAGTTACAAATATAAGTCTCATAAATGTAATATTGAGCAAAAGAAGCCAAACACTGAACAGCACATACTGCATGATTTCACTATTACAGAGTTCAAACTAATCTATTGTTTTTTTTTTTTTTTTAAATTGTTTATTAGATTTTAGGTTTTGGGGTACATGAGCAGAGCATGCAAGACAGTTGCGTAGGTACACACATGGCAGTGTGCTTTGCTTTCCTTTTCCCCTTCACCCACGTTTGGCATTTCCCAGGCTATCCCTCGCCACCTTCCCCTCCCACTGGCCCCCCCCTTTGCCCCCCAATAGACCCCAGTGTTTAGTACTCCCCTTTCTGTGTCCATGTGCTCTCATTTTTCATTACCGGCCTATGAGTGAGAATATGCGGTGTTTCAATTTCTGTTCTTGTGTCAGCTTGCTGAGGATGATGTTCTCCAGATTCATCCATGTCCCTACATACGACACAAACTCATCATTTCTGATTGCTGCATAATATTCCATGGTGTATATGTGCCACATTTTTCCAATCCACTCTATTATCAGTGGGCATTTGGGTTGATTCCAGGTCTTTGCTATTGTAAACAGTGCTGCAATGAACATTCGTGTACATGTGTCCTTATAGTAGAACGATTTATAGTCTTTCGGATATATACCCAATAATGGGATTGCTGGGTCAAATGGAATTTCTATTTCTAAGGCCTTGAGGAATCGCCACACTGTCTTCCACAATGGTTGAACTAATTTACACTCCCACCAACAGTGTAAAAGTGTCCTTTTTCTCCACATCCTCTCCAGTATCTGTTGTCTCCAGATTTTTTAATGATCGCCATTCTAACTGGCGTGAGATGGTATCTCAATGTGGTTTTGATTTGCATCTCTCTGATGACCAGTGACGATGAGCATTTTTTCATATGATTGTTGGCCTCATATATGTCTTCTTTCGTAAAGTGTCTGTTCATATCCTTTGCCCACTTTTGAATGGGCTTGTTTGTTTTTTTCCTGTAAATCTGTTTGAGTTCTTTGTAAATTCTGGATATCAGCCCTTTGTCAGATGGGTAAACTGAAAAATTTTTTCCCATTCTGTTGGTTGCCGATCCACTCTAGTGACTGTTTCTTTTGCCGTGCAGAAGC